CGCAGAAAGGACGGAGGCACCACTAACGGCGGCGGGGACGCGTCCCCTATGGTGTCTTAATGTCTACACTCCTATTTTGGAATTGCAGGGGGGCCCGTAAGAGGTGCACGGGCAACTACCTGCGTCACCTTATCGGTGACAATGATGTGCACTTCATTGGTCTTGTGGAGACTAAAATTGAGCAATTGGACCGTACCGATGTGGACAGAATGGTCGGGCACAATTGGGAGTTCTTTCACTTTCCTTCGGTCGGCAAATCGGGGGGGATTCTCATCCTCTGGCGCACAGGAATTATGCGCTTCGAGATGCATTCTGCTTGTGAGCAAGTGGTACTTGGCTCTCTTACCTTCCCGGACTGTCGTTGTTGGACAGTTGCGGTTGTCTATGCGGATAAGGACTATCTCCGCCGTCGCCGTGTGTGGGAGACCATTGGTATCCATTGTAACGCCGCTGCCCCGCTGCTTGTAGGGGGCGACTTTAACTGCTGCATTGATCAAACTGAGAAGAAGGGGGGGAAACGGGTCACTCCGACGGCGGGGTTGCTCGAAATGCTGGGGTTTATGAACACTTGTCACACTAGTTCTGCCCTTCCGTCAATTCCTTTAAGTTTCAGCCTTGCCGACGTACACTTCGGGCCCTCTACCACTGGAGCCGTCAACGCTCAATGAACCTCAACCGTCTTAAGTCGACGTTAGAACGGCGAATCCTGGAACTCCAGAATTTGGATTGCTCGCCGGCTGGGCTAAGCCCGGAGCGGGTGGCTGAGTTGCGTGACTGCATTAGCGAACTCAATGACACCTTGGCCCGCCTTACTACGTGGTGGCGGCAGCGGGCTAAGACGAGGTGGATTGAGGAAGGGGACGCGAATTCTCACTTCTTTCACATGGTTGCCACGGGACGCCGCCGGGACAACCGTGTTAATTGTATCTTAACGAATGAGGGTCAGCGGGTCACGGATGCGGGGGCCATTCGGACGGTTTTCACTGAGTTTTTCCGGGAGAAGTGGAGGGAACGGGATGCTAGCCTCCTCGACTGGCCGGATTTTCATGAACAGGATAAGGTGCCGGAGCATTTCTTGGCCTCTCTTACGGCTGTGGTTACGGATAGGGAGGTGTGGGAGGCGGTACATGCTATGGGAAATAACCGTGCCCCTGGGCGGGACGGGATTACCACCTCCTTTCTCAAGTTTTTTTGGGATATTATTAAAGCCGATATGCTGCGGGCGGTTCAGGACTTTTTTATTTCAAACACGATGCATGAAGAGTGGAAGGAGACCCTTATTATTCTTATTCCTAAGGTGGCGAATGCTGATGGCCCTACCAAATTCCGCCCCATTAGCCTCTGTCAGTCCCTCTATAAGGTTGTGGCGAAGATTATTGTCAACAGAATGAAGCCTGTGCTTTCCTTTGTGGTCGGGGAGGAGCAGGGCGCGTTCGTGCCGGGGAGATCTATCTCCAATCATGGACTTCTTGCACAGGAAATTATTGGGAACTTCCAACATTCGACGAAGCTGTCCGGTATGATGGCCTTAAAGGTCGACATGGAGCAGGCCTATGACTGCATGGATTGGGCCACCCTTGAGCATGTGATGCGGCTTATGGAGTTTCCCGAGCAATTTATCAATTGGGTAATGTGCTGCATCTCTTTTCCCAAATTTCAGCTAATCATTAATGGTTGCAGGAGTGATTGGATTTATGGCCGGAGCGGGTTTCGCCAGGGATGCCCCCTCTCGCCTTACCTCTTTATCCTGTGCTCGGAGCTCCTCACGAAGGCAATTGCCCAGCGGGGCGGGACTATTGGTGTGCAGGTTTCGCGGCATGCCCCCACGGTCTCGCACCTTCTGTACGCCGACGACGTGCTGGTTTTTGCGGACGCTAGCGCGAGTAATGCTCGGACGACGATAGCCCTCCTGCGTGATTACTGTAGCTGGACCGGCCAGCGAATTAATTGTGCCAAGTCGGCAATCCTGTTCAGCAAACGGTGTCCCCTCTGGAAGCAGCGGCGTATTGCTCGGGATATTGATTTTCGCCGTGTGCAGTCCCTTGAATACCTTGGCATCCAGCTGGTTATGCGGAAATTGACTAAATCTGATTTTACTAAGGTGGTGCGCTCGGTGTCCGACAAGGTGAATGTGTGGGGACGTCGGCACCTTTCGTTGGCGGGCCGTGCCACTCTTATTCGAACGTCGTTGCTTGCAACCCCGATGTATCTCATGACACACACGGCGGTCCCCGCGGGCACCCTTAACGCCATTGAGAGGATGGCGAGGCAATTTCTTTGGCAGAAGAATCCGAGTAAAAAAGGCCTGCACTATGTTTCTTGGCGGGAGCTCTGCTGCCCGTTATCTGCTGGGGGGCTCGGCTTCCATGCGTCCTCTACCTGGCAAAGCCCCTTGCGGGCCAGGCTTGCGTGGGATGTGCTGCATAACGATGGATCCCTTCTTGGCCGGACGATCGCGGCCAAGTACGGGCTGGATTTGTGGAACAGCCCGGTGGGACGGAGCGCTTCCGTTACCTGGAAAATCATCAAAGATGGGGCGATGGCTTTGCGCCCCATTGTCCGCTGGAACATATGGAACGGCAACCGGGTAGACGCCCTTCATGACATTTGGATTGCTGACCGTTGTCTTGCCCGATGGCCGTCTTTCTTCGCTGTTGATGCCGTGGAGGGCCGTATGGTCTCCGACTTCCTGGATGATAACCTGCAATGGCACCGTGACCTCATCCACCTCTCGTTTGGCCCCACCTTGGCCGAACGAATCTTTGCTATCCCGACCCGGACTCGTGGTGGCAGGGACTCTCCTGAGCTCATTAACCTCCCTCTGGGTACTACCATTACTGCTCAAGCCTACAAAGGGAGCTTCCCTCCTGCTCATTACCAATTTCTTTGGCTCCGGAAATTCAAGCTCCATCCTAGAGAGCAGCTATTTTGGTGGAGAATTCTGCGCGGGGCCGTCCCCACGAATGAGTGGCTGTGCCGCCGTGAGCTGACTGTGAATGGGGATTGCCCGTGGGACTGTAATCAATTGGAGACGCTGGAGCACCTTACTGTCAAATGTAGCATGCTTGCTGAGGTGCTGCGGGTGCTGGGCGGTTGGGGGATTGGGATCCCGTTCTTTGATTCGTGGGAAGATATGCTGGGCGGTCTTGCGCATGCGGCCGAGAACAACCCAAGCGGGGGCCGGCTTTACTGTTACATCGTTTATCAAATTTGGCGCGCTCGGAATGACAAGATTCATGCCCGACCTTACGGGACGCCTACTGTTCTTGCGGCCAATGCCTTGGCCATGTTGCCGAAATGTTATGCTATGCCAATCTTGGAGCAATGGTGCACCTCTCAGCCTTCTAGGCTGTCGTCTTCTCACTGTTGGTGCACCCCCCCTCCTGGGTGGGTCAAGTTTAATGTGGACGCTTCGGTTCGGCCCAATGCCGTGGCCGGCCTGGGTGTGATTGCTCGGGACCATGCTGGACGTTTGATTGCTGCGGTGGGAACCCAGGTGGAGCAATGGGACGTGACTAGGGCCGAGATTCTCGCCGGCCTTGCCTTCCAAGGGGCCATTGAGGAGTGGATGCACAATCTGGATGGGATTATTATTGAGAGTGATTGCAGGAATGCAATCCATTGGCTTCAAACCGCCTTCAACCGGCTCAGCAAATTCCATGTTCTAACGGACGGCCCGGATTTGTCCTTCTTGCTGGAGTTCAAGCAGGTGATCTTCCTTTACACCCCGAGAGAGCTAAACCGCCCGGCAGATTTCTGTGCCAATTTAGCCTGTTTTGGTAATTTTTTGTGGAAAGACTGTGATAGTAGAGATATTCCCCCCTCCCTTTTGTCTTTGTTAGAGGGGGATGGTACTAGAGTTTAGTCTCTCTTTTGCTTACTTGTAACCGCTCTTTTTTATTAATGCAAATGCAACTTTCAAGGAACCCAAA